ATATACTTATATGTTATATAAATTGTTATAGATTATGAACCAAGTATAAATTGAATTATAACATGTTATGTAAAAAAAAACGCAATATATACTAAAAATATACTAACTATAACCACAACATATACGGAAAAATATTTTGGTGTCTGTCTTGTTCAAAAAAAATGTAATATATATACTAAAAATATACTAACTATAACCACAATATATACGAAAAAATATTTCGGTGTCCATCTTGTACAGAAAACGCAATATATATACCAAAAATATACTAACTAACCACAATAGACAATTGTGTTGAACATGAGAAACCTAGACCTTGCATTAACATGTTTTACTAGTACAACACCCGTGTATTACACGGGTGCTTGCTAATTTTTTTCTTAAAATCTAAAATTAATAAGAAAAAAGTAGTTTGAAAATTTAAATACCTTTTATAAGAATATATATATTATTATATATTTATTGTGACACTTTTTATTTGTGCGACTTACTTGTGTTATATTATACTAATTTTTTTTAACTTACAATATATAACTACATTACATATAAATATATCAATTGAGAAATAATTTTATTATTCTAATGAATTTAATAAATATTATTATTTTTTATTATTATAAAGATAAATATAATTTATTTATTTTATATATACAATATGGATGTCAAATAGAAGATCATCAAAAGATGATTAATTTGATATATTATATATGTAAAACCGATAAGAAATACAAAAGTTATCAACTTTTAAAATACATTTATAATTCAATAGCCTATTGAAGGAAACAAATCAAAATTCAGGGATATATTAGTCACTTATTGCCTCACTATGTAAAATTGCAAAAAAATTAAAGGGTTATATTAGTAAAAGTGATATTAAAATACCTAAGTTAGCTAAATAATATTTATGGAATACCCGAACCTAGATGATTAATTATTAATATATCAATATTATTCATCCAAGCCTAATTACGAAGCATGATTCTTCGCCAAATAGGATTCCGAAGCACCAGAAGCAGCCACGTAGGCTCAGCGCATTCTGGAATTATATATAGGGAGGATAAACTAAACATATATGTGATTCTGTATACAAAAACATATACTTAAAATATACTGCTTATATACACAACATATACTAAAAATATATTGTTTATATACACAACATATACTGTCGACATCTCCACATTCGTTATCTCCAACTCGACCTCCTCGCTGGAAAGGAGGAGTGGAGGGTCGCACTATCGCCGGAGTCCATTGTTGTCTCTTTAGGAACAACCGCAGAGATAGAAAAAAAAATCACCGCATCGACATCGTACTCGAGCTGCGGGGCTTCTTTATCTACAAATGGGGGCAGATACCCTCCGGGCAGTGATCTTCTTGCCGAATTTCTTCTCCACCCACTTCTCGATCATGCAGACGCGCCGGAGGCTCGCCAAATCCTCCTTCCCGCCGCCGAGACTGCCGAATACCTTTAGTGCCACTGCCGCCACATTCCGTTAGCGTCACCGGCCCCGTCGCGATTCCTTCTCCCCTCCATCGATTTTTTGCCGATTTTATAGAATTTCACACCAATTCTGAAAAAAGTGGAGAAACGAAGAAGGAAGTTGAGAAAGTCGGTCAGTTGTAGAGAATCTATATATATATTAAAAGCCAACCTATTTACCAAAAATAGTAGCAAGAAAAGTCAACACACATTTAATGCATACTTTATTTGGAATTTTTTTTATTATATTCATTAAATGCTTGCATATTTATATTTACTATCTAAATATGATCTTAAATATTTTTTCCTTAAATAATTTATGCAATGATTTTACTGATATCCATTATAATTAACATTTGTCGAGTAATATTTTTTAACCTTTATTTAATTATATAACACTAATATTTTTTTAAAAAATTAATATTATTTATTATTTAAAAGATAATAATCACATCATTAAATGATTTTATTGATGGTTAGATAATAAAATTATAGTTATTCTTTAAAATTTCGACATGTTATTCATTTGTATATTATTGTCAACTATGATAGTGTTTTTTTATCACTTTTTTTTTATGTTTCAAAAATGAACTTATTGTAAAAATAATTCTATTGCATAGGGTGTTACTACAAAGCCTTAGGATGAAAATTAGAAAAAATCTCTTGATTATGTAAGGAATTTATTTTTTGGCAATTGCTAAATCATTTTTTTTTTTTAAAAAAAAAAGAATTATTATGAGAAAATTGAATAAAAAAAACATGTGTGTGTATTTTGTAAAAATTTATATTCAAAATTTTATTTTGAATTTTATTACATAAAGAAGACTACTTCTATAACTTTTATAAATAATAATAATTATATTATATGACTGTAAATTTTATAATAAAATAATAATTGAGTATTATATGGTGAATAATAATTAATAAATTTCTTTTTCCTATATCAATGAATAAATATGTATTC